TTTACAAGATTAGTCCCTAAGCTTCAACTATAAATACCCTAGCTCATTTAGCTTCAAAATCATCCCAAACCCCAAAATCATTCTAGCTCTCTAGTTGTGAGTTGTAAGTGTGTTTTTTGTAAATACCTGTAAATATTCTCCCTTTAGTAAAAGATCTGCAGCAGTCTGGAGACGTAGGCAAAATTGGCTGCACTCCGTTATCAATTTCGGGTATTATTTTTCCACTTTTATTTCGCATTCTCACTAATCTGGTTATAGGGAAATTACTTGTTCTCGTTTATTTCCCAACAAAATGCCCTTGACCACGACCATCAGATCAACCACCAGAGTTGGACGAAGCATAGTATGGTAATTTACGGTTGGAATCCTGAATAGATCTTGAGTTAGAAGAATTGTGAACCTTTCCTTGAGCAATATGAGCACTCATCGAAATGTTATCTACCTGTAAATCAAAACCGACCAATTGCATCTTAGTAAATACCTGGGTAAGACTTCACCGAAACATTCAACACGGTTGTAAAGTCCACCACTATAAATGTCATCCTCTCCTCAGCCATGTTAAATGGTTGGAGTCTCCGACGATTGGATATCAATAACGACTTTCTCAATGACAATCTTGGCGAGGACCTGTTTATGGCCCAACCTCCAGGATTTGAGCAAATCTCCAATGATGGTGCTCCCTTGGTTTACAAGTTAAAGAAAGCTATTTACGGCTTACGACAGTCTCCAAGAATGTGGTACTCCAAGTTTAAACAATACTTAATTGATCTTGGGTTTTATGCTACAGCTGCAAATGTTTCATTGATTGTACATCAACTAAATGGCACTCGCACTTATCCTCTTATTTATATCGATGACATCATTGTTACAGGCAATTCTACTGAAGCCATTGAACGAATATCTAGTTGTTAGGTCAGCAATTCTCACTGAAGGACTTGGGAGAACTTAGCTACTTCCTCGGTATCGAGGTTAATCGTACCTCAGAGCAGTTGTTTCCAAGACGATGAAAGTTTGTCAACGAGCTATTGACAAAGACTAATATGAATGGTGTCAACTCTATCCCAACTCCGATGGTCATTTCCCCTAAGTTGACGCGTGATACAGGTAGACCTCTCGATGACGTGTTCTTGTATAGAAGCACAGTTGGTGCCCTGTCATATCTATGCCACAATAGACTGGACATCGTATTCAGCGTTAATAGAATGGCACAATATATGCAAAGTCCCTGCCTCAATCACTAGCAGGCTGTGAAAAGAAACTTAAGGTATCTCTATGGTACAATCGACAATGGACTAGTCTTTCGTTCTTCAGCTTCCTTGGACACACATAATATAGCAGCGTTTGTAGAAGCTAATTGGGCCAGTAATGTGGATGAACGACGTTCTATAATTGGTTGTTGTGTCTTTCTTGGTTGAAACTTGATATCTTGGAGTGCTAAACGTCAGAAATCAGTTGCTCGATCCACGACCAAAGAGGAGTGTCGCAACATCGCTGACACTGTTTTTGAAGTAGTTTGGGTTCAGTCACTCTTGAAATATATGGGCGAATCAGTTGACAACGTTTCGATTATTTGGAATGACAACACTAGTGCCATCTCCTTAAGTGAAAATCCTGTCATCCATACTCCCTCAAAACTCATCGAGCTTGATGTTTACTTTATCCGAGAAAAGGTGACTAACAACGTCGTTCAATTAAATTACGTGCCTGCTGACACCAACTAGCTGATGGATTTATTAAACCCTTGATTAAATCTTCTCATGCCTTATTCCGTCAGAAGATTCAAGTTGTTGATACATGAGATGACAAAACAAGCGAGGAGTGAAACAGAGAGAATGTTGGAGCATGAAATATAGAAGGAGCTGAGGTGTACAAATGACGTGTCCAAGCTGTTAGTAATTTGTTAGGTTTGTTGTACCAGCCTGTGAGATGTCAATATGCTTGCCCTACAAGAGTAAGAGCTATAAATATATATGTAAAAGATATTTAAGAAGTAAGCAATGAATTATAGTTTTCCCCAAAATCCAAAATGGATGAACTACTTCCTCGAATAGAAGAAGACGCAGGGCTATCATGAACCACCACAGCTAGCAGGAAGCAAGAGATCCAAAACCGTCAGCGATTGATACCATAATGAAGTTTACAAACGAGCAGTGAAAAAGAAACAAAAAGGGTGGTTTACAATAACCTAAAGTGTGCATTTTATAATGCACGTTAACCCATGCGATTTACTTTTAACATAATAACAACCTAACAGATTGTATACCAATCTAACCTCCTTGAACTACCACTAAACGATACGTGTAACCGTAGCTGTCAAGCCTTGCTATATTCAACACTTTATTAGAAGACTCGGGAGGTGGTTCACTGGTATTTTAGTAGCAAAAGTGCAAAAGGTGGGCGTTCATTTGAACAATTTATCATGGTTTTCAGAGATACGAGTTCAGGTGTTTAATAGTTTCTACATTATGTAAGTTTTTAAGAGCTCTTAAATTTAAACGACGAATGAAAGAGTTTAAATTGGAAGTAATGTTTGGAAGGTTTGGTATGATATCGAGTTTTAAGCTCTAGGTCTCTGAAGCACCTGGAAGGAAAAAGAGATAGTTACGATATGGGTTAGGAGCAAGCTTCATTTTGTGGTTTCCTAAGAGAGCTGACACACTTTTATCAAGACATTCTCAATTGGTATGGTGTTTTCATCGCTAAAATAAGGAAAAAATATATATGATTTAATAGGCAGCTGGTTTTGATACACATTAGGGGCATGTGCTGTCCCTTGAAGGGATTTTGTTTTATGGCTTTTTATTTGTGGAGATGGGAAGTAACTTTATATTCGAAGTATGCTTGGACAATCAATTTTCAAAACTTGCAGAATTTGTTTATGTGGAGTTTGTTTTGGGAATATGTAGGGACTGCGAGTGGAGTGTATAACTTTGAGTTAAGTTTGTCTTTTCTTGTTTTTCTGTCAGGGCTCAATATGGTGTTGGTTAGTCGCACGTTTAAGGGGTGTTTTAGTTCGGTCATTTTGCTGAGATCTTCGGACCTTATTTTGGTCGACTTGTATATCCTTGACTACCTTTATGCGTTCTTTTTTTCTCTGAGGGTTTTTTTAATGAGGGATAAGGTGGTCCTGTATTTTTCTTAAATAAAAGTTGGATATTATGCTGATAAAAAAAGATATTATCCAATTATATAAATTAATACAAATTACATGATGTTGCCTTCTACCCTATCTGTCTATCAATTTGGTTCTTGTCTTTTGATTGTTAGTTTATGGTCATACTAAAGCTTTACTTGATATACAGGATTAAAATAAAAAATTTATTAATTAAATCATTATAATTGATAACCACTTTCTTACTTTAGATCTTAATTATTTGATTAATAAAATTTCTTTTAAACCAAATAAAGGATAGAAGTTCAAATCTCATATCTTAATCATTCTCTTAATTTATTTCGAAATGCGCTTCATTATTTTTTTTTTCTAAAACAAAACTGCCGGATTTTATTAAAATAAATGTCACAAATAACAGTAAAAAAATACAAGAATGAGCCAGCTGTAAAATTAAACTTCCACCAAATCTATCCTACCTCAGTAAAACAAAAGAAAATATAAGGTGGTGTTTATTTTTGAAGAGGTAAAAAGTCTGTAATCTGCGGACCACATCTGTAGACATCTACAGCAGAAAATGTAGACCAAAAGTCTGCAGTCTGCAAGAAGAAGACTGTTTGTTTTTTAACGTCTGCAAACTGCTAAAATAAAATGAAATATAAAATAAAATGATTTTTTAAACTTAAAAGAGTTTTACAATACTGAAAGTTAAATAATTTTAGTTTTATAATACTGAAATTTAAATAATTCATACAACTACAATAATAAATTTTTTAAAATAAATCAATTAATATTTTAAAATAAATCAATCCATATTTTAAAATAAATCAATCTATATTTTAAAATAAATCAATCCATATTTTAAAATAAATCAATCCATATTTTAAAATAAATCAATCCATATTTTAAAATAACTTTTTTCATATTTTAAAATAAATCAATCCATATTTTAATATAAATCAATTCATATTTTAAAATAAATCAATCATATTTTAAAATAAATCAATCCATATTTTAAAATAAATCAATCCATATTTTAAAATAAATCAATCCATAATTTAAAATAAATTTTTTCATATTTTAAAATAAATCAATCCATATTTTAAAATAAATTTTTCCATATTTTAAAATAAATCAATCCATATTTTAAAATAAATCAATTCATATTTTAAAATAAATCAATCTATATTAAAAAATAAATTTTAAAATAAATTTAAATGATTTTAATTTTCCCGCAGACCTTTGAAGACTTTTGAAGACATAAAACCATGTCTGCACCAAAAGAACTCGCGCAGACGTTTGAAGAGTTTTTATCTTCTAAAAAACAAACGGTCTACGAAGTCTAATGTCTGTGCGTGGTCTGCGCGACGCAGACATAAGAGTTGCACGGTGAAAACAAACTAAGCCTAAAACTAATAAACATTATCCGGCCGTTTTACCTTTGAGATGTATCAATGAAGATCTCGCAAGAAAGCTTCGATAATTTTGTCGAACCTGACATGCATTGAACTCAGACTGTTTCGCCGGCCGATCTGGAATTTCCTCAACCCAGAACAAATCTTCTTCTCCCTCAGTCTGTTCTAAAGCTAGCAGAAAATGCGCATCAATACTTGCATATTATATATGCAAGTGGTTGACATGACTCGACTATTAAGGCAACTTGGTATGTTTGACACTGTATTTTGAGTTGATTTTTGGTTTAATTGCCGTTCTTTAGTCTCCAACGATTCTGATATTTTAGATTTAATCACTTCATTTTACTTCCACATAATTTAGTCCTTTTCTTTTTACAAGATCTTTGTGCTTAAATTGTCTAGAGCCCTGCCCCTCACTTTATCTATATATACGCCATTGAACCTTAAGAACAATGAATCAATACCATTTAAATATCTCCAGATTTTTCAGGAAAGAAAATGAAATCATCAATCTCCACCATTTCCGTTGTTTTGATATTCGTTTTGTTATCAATTTCATTGGTGATACCCAACGATTCAAGTGATTTCGATAATTTTCTTGGGTGTCTTCATGCACATTCTAATTCTTCCTTTCCGATTGCGGATGCCATATTAACACCATACAATTCGTCCTTCGAATATATTTACCAGCTACGTGCAAGTAACCTTCGAACCTTGTTTTCTGCAACCTCGAGACCGGTAGCCATTATAGCCGCCCTGCATCCATCCCATGCTCAAGCCACTGTCGTTTGCACCAAGTTCCACGGTTTCCAAGTAAGGATTCGAAGTGGCGGCCATGATTTCGAGGGACTATCGTACACTTCCGATGTCCCATTTATCATTCTCGACATGTTCAATCTCCATTCTATTGATATTGATATAGAGAGCGAGACAGCATGGGTTCAAGCCGGGGCAACAACCGGCGAACTTTATTATAGTATAGCCAAGAAAAGCAATGTCCATGGGTTCCCATCCGGTATGTGCACCACTATCGGCCTCGGTGGACACTTTAGTGGAGGTGGTTATGGGTTTCTTATGAGAAAATATGGACTCACCATCGACAATGTCATCGATGCATTATTGATCGACGCCAATGGAAGGATCCTTAACCGTGAATCAATGGGAGAAGACCTGTTTTGGGCAATAAGAGGAGGTGGAACAACCAGCTTTGGGGTCATCCTTTCATGGAGGATCAAGCTGGTTCGTGTTCCACCTATGGTTACAGTATTCACCGTGCATAGGACACTGGAGCAAGGCGCAACGGAGATCGTTTACCGTTGGCAACAAGTTGCGCCAAAACTTCCAAAAGATATCTTTATTAGACCCCAACCTCAGCCCATTAACAATGGCCCCAACAATAGAACCGTCAGCGTTTCATTCGGGGGTCATTTTCTAGGGAAAACTGATAGACTTATACAATTGATGAACGCAAACTTTCCGGAATTGGGTTTACAACGAAGTGATTGTTTAGAGATGAGTTGGGTGGAATCGACCCTGTACTGGGCAGGTTTCCCCAAGGGAACCTCCATTGAGGCCTTGCTGAACAGAGTGCGAGTGGATCGATCGTTTTCCAAGTTCAAGTCGGATTATTACAAAGCAGTGATTCCTAAGCAAGGATTGGAGACGTTATGGGAAGCGTTGATGGACATTGAAGACATCTTCATCCAAATGAACCCTTATGGAGGGAGAATGGAAGAGATTTCGGAATCGGAAACTGCTTTCGCCCACCGCAACGGAATCCTTTTCATGATGCTATATGGTGTGACATGGTCCGAGTCAGACGGAGGCGTCAACGCCGCTGCACGACACTTCGAGCTGTCGAGGAGGTTGTACAACTTAATGGAACAGTACGCGTCGAGCAACCCGAGGGAAGCATTCCTCAACTACCGAGATCTCGACATCGGTAGCAACAAAAGTGGGGAGACTGATTTCGAGGTTGCCAAAGAATACGGGGCAAAGTATTTCAAGAACAATTTCATAAGACTGGCGAATGTGAAAGCCATGATAGACCCTGAAAATTTCTTTAGAAACGAGCAAAGCATACCGCCATTGCCAATGCTAGCAACTCATTGAACTACTGTCTTGTACGACCGAAAAACAATAAAATGTAAGTGAAATATCTTCTATATTTTAATATCTCTTCCCTTTTATTATTTCTTGTTGTTGCTTTTAGTTTAATCACATCGTGCGTGTTAATCAAATATAATAAATAAGAGTATATACATATATTGTTAATCCAATCAGTAGATATTTTTATACAATGAACATTATATTATGTTGTTAGTTTGTATATCACTTCACTATGTCACCTAAAATAAAGACAATTGAAAACTGCATAGATTTTTTAAGTGGTTGAGGAGAATATAATTCAAATTGGATTAAAAATAAATTTAAAACAAAATAGAAATTGATGAAACAAAAAATTATATATCAAAATCATAAATAATTAAATTACTTAACGAAATATCAAAATAATATCATTTTTTTATCAAACTTCAAAAATTCGAATTTGACTCGAGCTTAAAATTCTAATGTAAAATTTGAGTGAACTCAAACAATTCGATCCAAATATCTGAAAATTTAAAAAAAATTATAATTTTCAAATTGAATTAAATTTTACTCACCTCCCATCATAATTTACTTTTATCAGTCTCAATATATGTGACAATCATGTTTATCATCTTCTCTTCACATAGATTCGAACCAAATTTAACACTATTGTTAAAAAATAAAAAGAATACGCACTATTGTTATGAGAATATAAAATAAATATATTGTTTTTCTAACACTAATTGTTGCTAGGCTGTGTGCAAAACTTACCTCACTTGCACACAATTTAATACTATAAAACAAAAATGCTTGGTTGGGTTAAGTTATTTTAATACTATAAAACAAAAATGCTTGGTTGGGTATCATTGAATAATGCAAAGGATAACAATGATTGAAGCATGAACGACATAGTGGGCTAGTTGACAATGATATATAGCAAACAATTATTGGGGAGAAGGCGCAGACTGTCGAATGATGATGATAAACTAGTGTGTGTTGGTACTAGAGATGAATTAAGAGGGAGTGTGTGGACATAGGTAATAATTTTTTTAAATTATTATATATTTTAGATTTTTTTTAAATATTTTAATGGGTTAATTACATGATTGATTACTTATATGTTGTGTTTTGTTATTTTTTTCACTAATTAAAAATAATAATATATGGTCACTTTCGATTTTGTTTGATTAAGATGTAATCACCACAAGTTAAATATAGTTAACAATTAACAAATTAAATGTGTGACAGTTAAATATTTTGGTATAATCACATATTTGGTCCATGTAATTTGCGACAGTAATTGTAATAATATGATGACTTGAATTTGGATTCATTAAATTATAAAAATCAAATGTATAATTAATGAATTTATATAAAAAATATTTTTATATAAAAATATTTTTTTACTCCCATGATTAGATCTAATATATATTAATAAAGGATATAGATAATTTATGGACAAAAAACGGTTTTTTTGGCTCATTAGGATATCTGATTTTTTTATTTTGGATAATATAACATTTTCTACAGTGTTTATAGAACTCATCATCTCGACGTGACAAGTTCCTATAAAAATATTTTTTATTATAAAATATAATTTTTTATTAAATTTTACCATATCGAGATAAAAAGTTTGAATAAAAATATTTTTATTAAAATTCGTCGACATGAAGAATTTCATGCAATGTAGAAAAAACCATAGATCCTAAAATAAAAGTGTATGTGCCTATTTTGAAACTTTTTTGGACTTCCCAATTGGGTCAAAAAACCCAAAAAACAGGCCACTAATTGCAACAGAAAAGTCATCAAACCCAAAAGCATGCAAAAATAGTTTTTAAATAGTTGGTTACATGCCTGTGGGGGCGAAGCTAAGGACGATAGCGCCTTGGCCCATGGCCGAATGGGAATATTCTTTATTAGCCATCCTATAAAACTGGTAATTCACTTAAGCCATTTTTAGCCCATTGGTTAGGTAAAAAAATATTTTTTTTTTAATTTTAAAAAATAATAATTCAATTTGAAATATTTTAATATTTTTTAATCTTTGATTCCAATTTTTTTTAGTTTTAATCGTCACTTCATTCTGAATTGATTGAATATTTACGAAATCTTAAATTTATGTCCAATAACAAAACAAAGAAAAAAATTACATCTCCAGCTTAACGATGACTATTAATGTCACGAATATAGACCTACTAGTAAATTACAAAATGTAAAAGATTTAAATTATACTGAATTAATGTATACAAATCAAATCAGACTAAAATTACGATCGTACTAAATTATTAATTTCGTCAAGTGCGATCCAACGGTGAAGAAATCTAAACTCAATAATAGAGATTTTTTTAGTTCTTGCTTGAAACTATTACCACAGAAGATAATTATTCTATTCTATACTCATAATTTACAGGCCGGTCCAATGAATTTTAATGCTCTCGGCGAGATAATAATTTTATGTCCCTATACTTGTACCGTATAATAGACAAAACTAAATAATTTTTTTAAAATAAAAATGAAATAGAAATTATAGTCAAACAATATCAATACTAATACAAACCAAAACCTAACGGCGAGAATTAATTTTTTTGGATCGGCGATTAGGTGTTTTGGGTTAATTTTTTTGGGTCAAATATATATATATACACTATAAGCACTAGAAAATTGATGCCCCCTCAAACATGTTGCCCTGTGCTAAGGCCTATCTAGCACATGTATTGGGTCGGGCCTGATAATTTATTATATAAATTAGGGTAAAGTATACAAATGGGCCCCAACTATAGGATGTTGTTTTGTTGAGTCCTCCGACTATTAAAAGTTATGAAATGATACTCTGACTATAGGGTGTTGCTTTATTGAGTCCCTCGACTATTAAAAATAACAAATGACCACTCGACTATTCATATGTTCTAAACTCATCATTTTTTGTTAAAAAAATAGTAGTCAACAAAAAATTGTAGTCGTCTATGTTTGACGCTAACATGCTAATTTTGATATGATAGTCATTTGAGATTTTAAGATCAAATTTTATTATATATCTCAATCAATAATGTCGACATTCGTTTTTCAGTCATATTATTATTATTATTATTATTATTTAAAAAATACTAACATATTATTATTAGAAAAAATAACATCAGTGACTAAAAATCTCATATAATATACGATTTTAACCAACTTTTTCCGGATTTATCAAAATGACCAACAAAATCGCAATGCGATCGCTAATTCGCAACGCGATCTCCATTATCGCAAATTAGTTTCCAGATTCGCAACGCGATTATGACTATCGCAATGCGATTTTCCAATTTCGCGTTGCGATTTTCCCAATTCGCAATGCGAATAAGTAAATCGCAACGCGAATTTGGAAAATCGCAATGCGATACTGGCTATCGCAACGCGATACTGACTTTCGCAACGCGATACTTACTTTCGCAACGCGATACTGACTTTCGCAACTCGATTTGACTTTCGCAACGAGATTCTGACTATCTCAACGAGATAATACAGAATCACAATGCGATTTTCAAAGTTCGCAACAGGTTTTAGTTTCGCAACACAAATTTTTTGGGTATATATCTACGCAGCAGCAACAACTCATAACCTAAATCCCTAAATCGCAACTCATTCCATCTTCATCTATCACTCTCTCCAGCGACATCTGTTCCTATATCCGTTCCTACATCCTTCCCCATCCGGTAACAGGTCTTAGTTTCGCAGCTCGTTTGTTTAGTAAATTAATTTACAACCATGAAATCATCTAATGTTGATCATGTTTGGATAGATTTGTGTTTTGGAGGGTCATGGGAGAATGTTCATGGTGTTTTACAATATATGCCTTTACCCATGAATCTTCAACTAAAACTGTCATTAAAAAGTTAACTTATGAAACTCTAATGTTACTTGTTTCAAAGAAATTGAATTTAGAGCCCCTAAGTGGATTTAGGTTATCTTATCAGAGAAATGGTAAAGTTTATTTGTTAACCGACAATGAAGATGTTGAACGATTCATTGCTTACATTAGTGTTTCAAGTGATGATGTTGCATTGTATGTTGTTGAATCTAGAAGTAGTATTGTTGGGTCAGTAGCGGGTAGTAATCAACTAAGTTTTTCTCAAAACCCATAACCTTTCTCTAATCCAAATCCCAATCAACTTTCAGCACCAAATTCCGGTTTTCGTATTGACCAATTAGATGATGATGAGCCAACAGAAAAAATTGTGAGTACTAGTCAGTATTCGAAATTTGATCTTGGTCAATACCCGGACTTTGATATTGGTCAATACTCGGATTTTGATGATTTTTCAGAAGAAGAAACAGACCATGCGTGTAATGATTTTGATATTGGTCAATACCCGAATTTTGATGATGAAACAGCCGTTGCCGAGGAAGATGTTGTTGATGATAATGAAGAGGAAGTTACGACTGTGAATGAACATGTTGAACATCCATTCTGTAATTCATATAATCCTGAAGAAGAAAAAGAAGAAGAAAAAGTCCCCGAAGAAAAGAAAATGCCACGGGAGTATAACTGGAATATGCCAGAATTACTTCAGATACCGGAAGAAGAGTTGGTAAAGAAAGCAGTTGATGTTACACAAAAGTATTCGTATCAAGAAAGATGATTGTTTTGATACAAAGGAAGACTTGAAGATAGCTTTGTATACGAAATGTGTGGAAGATGGCTATCAACTAAAAGTTAACAAATCAAGCAAAGATCGTTTCGAAACAAGGTGTATGATTGACAAAAACTGTACGTGGCGTATGATTGCAAAAAGGATAAAAGATTGCGAAATGTTTCAAGTTAGGACTTTTATTGATAAACATAAATGTTCAAGAACCCAAGTTTTTCCTCACCATAGACAGGCAAACAAAAAGGTGTTGGGTGGTTTTCTGGCTGAGTTAATGTTTTTGAATGGCAGGGTATATCGGGGACATGAAATTATGACTGACATGAATGCTCGGTTCAAGATTAGTATATCATATTCTCAGGCTTGGAGAGCCAAATGTTATGCCTTGGAATTGTTGAGGGAGTCGCCAGAAGCATCGTTTGCCCAACTGCCGGCTTATTGTCACAATTTAAAGCTGAAAAATCCTGGGTCGGTAACTCATATCAAAACAGATAGA